ATAAATATTGTCATGGTAATTTTGTTTTATTATATATTATAATATATATATATATGATATATCTGTATATATAAAACAGTAAGCTGATTGACTGCTATCAACGCACAGCTCAAACCATTGGACGGATCTGGCTGAAATTTGGCATACAGATAGCTATTATGATGTAGAAGTGCGCTAAGAAAGGATTATTCGAAATTCGCATTCTAAATATGTGCTCAAACAGGGACATTGAGATTCAAGATGGAAATTGGAAATTTTATTTTTATTTATTAATAGTTGCCATTGGTTACAGTCTACATTAGAAATTGGCATTTATTTATTGGTTGCCATTGGTTATTCGGGCAGATCAGGTACAAGCTTGCATCAAATCAAATTATTGAACATTGCCTACCAGAGTGGCTGAGTGGCACTTACCCCAGCAAGTTACACCCAAAAGGATTTCAACAATCATAATTATTTTAAGAGTTGTGATTTTTTACGAGCAACCAAATATGTTATATGAATAATTAATGATCGATTATTATTTATTTTTATTATTATTATAAGTATTCACTCACAAATCTATTGTCTGGATAAAAACAATACTACAAACAATTATCCATCGATCTGTCGAATAAAAATATAAAAAAAATAATAAAACTATCAATAATAAATAATTCGGGATACTTCTTCTCATTTTTTAAATTAATAAATATTTTTTTCTTTCTTTTTCACTCACTCACGTGTACCATTCAAAAGAAGTTTAACTTCCCACGCGCGTACTGGTAACACACATGGTTTTTTTTTTTTTGTACCGGGGCGTAAAATATCTAAATGCGGTACTGGCTATATTCTTACGAATTACGATAGTTTATTATACAAATATGAGACAGTTGCAGAATATGTATCTTCAATTAAAATGGTATTAGATAATGAATATTTCAAATTGTATATAGATTTTTAATGCGTATTGAAAGATAAATTAAATAAAAATAATTTTCAGTTTGGCGTCCCTTCCGTGCTGGCACCCTGGGCCGAATCTAATGTAATTTTTTGAATTGCGGCAAAATAAGGAAATCGAGTGAATAACCAATCTTGTAGTATACAAACTTTTAAGAAATCTTGTATTAATTTTCAAATCATAGATATTAAAAGGAAAATTGTATGAATTCCTAGCTCAAAATAATTCTTAAATTTTCGTGATTTTTACGTATTTTGTCAACATTTGAAGTTTAAACGCTCATGAAAAAATATTTTTGATTGACGATTAACTTTTTTTTAAATATCAATTAATAAAAACTTTCCAGGAACCTTGTATAAATAAATTAATTGTTTTGACCTAGCCAAAATTATTTTATCGACATTAATCGAAAATGTCATATGGCTATAATTAGTTTAACATGAGTTAAAATATTTTGAAAATGTTATTAAATTATAGGACTTTAACTCTCACATTTTTTTTAAGGAATTGCTGCACCTTCAGACATTGTTTGGTCCGATATCAGCTCTTATTTGAATGATGCAATGAGTAAAATGGCCATTTATACTATGGTTTTTAAAGGACGACATAATATAAAACAAAAGCTTGGGTTGGTTTTTAAAAATTTTACTGTAGAAACACCTCATGTTACTAATTATGAGTCCGGTTTGTACCTATTTATTTTAATCAAATATTATATTGAATCCATCTGAAGATATTGTTATAATAATATTAATTTATATTTGTTTATTAGATACTTCTTTTAGTACAAGTGATGAAGAAAATTTACCAAAAAAAAAAAAAAAATAGTATTTACATTTTCTCTTGAAGAATGGAAAGAAATCCAACCACGAGAATACGTTTATAGATTGAACGATAAAAATCGACCTCTATCAAATTCCAAATCTTACATGGCTTTACTTAAAAACTCATGGAGTCCAGTGCTTGCTGAACATTTTTGGATTCATACTCAGCTTCCCTGTACCTTGTCTTTTCGCAGAGCTAAAGTTAATCCTAGCGGAACTAATTATATTAATGTTGTTGGTCGATGTACATAATGCAATTCAAAATTTTCAGGATATGTAAGGGATATGCCACTAGAAAATTCAAGGTAAATATAGTTACAATTAAATATTACGAAGTAGTAGAGTTCTTAGTACCTATAATGGAGTTTAGTTATGTAGAGGAGAGTAAATTATTTTTTATACAAAATCATCCGATACATTTTTTTTACTTTAAACTTTAATTTAGGTATACAATTAGATATGGTAAGTGTCAAAATTTAAATCCAAATACTCTATGAACATAAATATTATGGTAAAAACTGTTATTTCATGGTTTGATTTCAACCTTGCGTTAACTCTTCCGGTACTTCCCCTATTTCCACCTAAAAAGTTTTTACGTATGGGTATCATAAAATGCAACATAATTTATAAGTATGCTATTTTTTAAGAAAACAACAACAAAAAATATTTATAATAACGATCAAGACATGTGAAATTAATAAAAATATTTAAAAAAAAATTGTTGAATAACAAACAAAAACAATTAATAGACACAGTTAGGTAATAACTAAAAGTAATTAATAAAAATTAAATCTAAAACTAAATCTAATAAGAATAAACAAAATCTTAATCAGATAAAAAAATATGTAGTTAAATAAAAATGTAATTTCAATAAAAAATAAAAAATGAATTAAAAATTGAATATGTAATTTGAATAAATAATCTAAATAGCATAAAACATAAAAAATGTAATTTTAATAAATAATCTAAATAGATACTTTGAATAGATTTTTCGTTTTATTTTATTTACAATTTTTTTTCCTAATATGGTTTTTTATGAAATATCTGTTTATTTGGTTTTAATTCTATTTAGGCTTTTTATTCTATTTAGATTTGTCATTCAAAATCCTTTTTTTATACTAGATTTTTTATTCAAAAAGGATTTAAATATTTTGATCTACATGGATTTTTTTATTCTAATTACATTTTTTTATTTAATTTATATTTTTATTTAACTATAATTTTTTTATCTGATTTAGATTTGTTTATGTAATAATGGTTTTTTTATTCAAATTATTTTTCGTATTAATTTTATTTTTTTTAATGTAAACATTTTATTATTCAAACAACATATTTTTATTATAATATTAGATTTTTAATCAAATTAGATTTATTAGATGTATTCATTAAATTACATTTTTTTATTATATACAGATTTTTGTCATCACCTATGATTTTTTATTCAAATTATTTTTTAATACCTATAGATTATGTGTCAGTGTTCCTTTTTAATATATAATAATATAATTATAATATTTATATAATTGTATATACATTTTTTGTATATTTATTGAATAAAAATGAAATTTATACTTTTTATAATAAAATTAGATGCTTTTTATTAAAAATCAACTAGGATTTTTTATTTTGTTTAGATTTTTTTTTTATATAAGATTTTTATTAAATTTAAATTTGTTACACAAATTAGATTTTTTTAATCATGTTGAATTTGTTTGTTTAATTTTTTTTTTGTCTTTAACTACCCTTTGTAATTAAAAATACATTTTTTATTAAAATGCTTTGGCATGGTTGTAAAAATGGGATAGGGGAGGGCTGTCAAATTATAATTTTGATTTTAAAATTCTAAAAATCAATTTGAAATTATTTGCACTAGTTTAGATAATTTCTATGAAGGAAGGGGTTAACTAAATGTCCATAATATCCGCTCTTTATGGTTGTACAGCTCTATAAATACATATTATATAGGTATGATATATAATATTTGGAATTGGCTTCATTAATAAACTTGAAAGTGATATTTTCATGTCATATAATTACTTTTAATTATTTAACAGAGTTTTAATTCACTGTTTGTACATCGGTAATTTCAATGAGAACCATAGTAAATGCATTAAAAAAAGAAGATTGATTGGTCCAGCTAAAGAAAAGGCTTTAACGTCAATTATTGACGACAATATTGCTTGCGAAACTTACAGGGAAAAGGAAGCACATCGTCTAATGAAATTAGGTATGTTTAACTTATTATATTTGATACATTTCTTGAGCTCTATGATTTGTTATTGTTTCTACCAAAATTTGTACACACACACACACACACACACAACCCACACACACAGACACACACCCACAAATGAACATAATTTAATATATTTAAATTCAATACATGCAATGATCCATCAGAATCTAACATATTATTTAATTGACATTTTGCTATGGAATAACATGTTCAAGAAACATTTTTTAATCAAGAAACATCAATAATAATGCATAATGCGTCTTAGCTCTTTCTAGGACATTAATGTTAATTATACCTATAAAATTTTAGTTACCATTGTATAATATAAAATATTGAGTATGCGTCTTGAGTATGGTCTATGTCAACCCTTATAGACAGAGGGACCTAGGACATTGCGCCGCGCCGTATATCTTTATATAAATTATTGTTGTTATAGACAAGCAATTATATTAATCAGTAAATCTTGGTTACTCTGTTCGTATTAGGGGACCCTGAACCTGCAATAATTCCATCATCGAATTCATTACGACTTTTAAAGTCTCGGAAGTTAGCTTCTAATCGTAGAAATGAAGATACATTTATTTCATTGGCATTAATGAAAAAAGAATCGGAGTATAAAAACTTTTTACATAATATGGGATATGAACCTTTTTATATCCATTATCATGCTGCTGAACAAATAGCTATTTATAGGAGTTACTGTTGCATCACTAAATATCCTAAGATAGTTATTGATGCAACTGGTTCGGTAGTCAAAAGTTTTTCAATATGTGGCATAGAAGAAAACAAAACGAAATCTCTTTTATTGTATGAAGCTCTTGTATATGATGCTCAAAAACGGCAAAATTTCACGATAACCAATATGATTAGTGAAAGTCATTCAAATATTTCTATATCAAATTGGTAACCAAAACCAAAAGAAGCGGTGTGTGACCATTCCATAGCCCTATTATCTGATATAGTTAAAAGTTTCACACAGTACTCAACTCTACAAGACTATATGATAGCTTGCGCTGAATTACTTAAGGAGACTAAATTTGATTTTCACGGGCTTCCACGTTGTTTTGTTAGAATCGACGTCGAGCATTTTATCAAAATAGCCAGAAAATGGACACCGTTAAAATCAATTACTCGATTGGCTAGAGAAATGGTACTTCGTGCGATTGGGTTGTTAATCAAATGCAAAACATTGAATGAAATACGTGTATTGTTATTATTTTTATTTATATTGCTTACTAATGAAACGAATGGAACAATCCCCGAGAATGATGAAGAAACTCCCTGTGAACAACACAAACGTATATTAACTGAAGCAACATCAACTGGTTTCGTTGATTTGCAACAACAGTTTAATGAAATATTATCCTTAGCTGAAACTGAAGAGGATGCTCGCACTCTGATAGAAAATGAGTATGAACGCCAAAATGAAGCTTTGGATTCAAATGAGAATCCATTTCAAACATGGGCTGATGGTATATTGTTAGAAAGTAAAATATTTATAAAAAAAAAAGGAAATGGAATAAATCCATTCTATTGCCCTGAATTACCATCGATTCTTATTAAAACAATGAAATATATGCCTTTATGGTCCGGTGTAATGATTCCAATCTTCGGTTACGGAGAAGATATTTCAAGTTCTGCTGCTGTAGAATCAAGTTTTAAGAAACTTAAGAATAATCACAATGAAACACATACATTTACCAACAAATATTGAAATATTTTTGGAAAACCACATTGAAGCACTAAAAGGATCCTCACTTATACGTTCTGCTAAAAATGAAATTTAACATTTACCACCTATTCGTCATAATGTCATCAACTCTAAGCCTAAAATGTGTGAAGTTTTAGAAGAAGGTGCTAGTGGAACCGACAATGAAGAAATGTCTGGTATTGAAATAATTGGAAATCAGAGTGACAAAAGTCATGCAAGTGTTGATTCTCAAGATATTATGGTCGATGACACGTTAATAGCAACATTGAATAACGAAATCATGGAAGAAAAAAATTATATGTATAAAACCTATCCGTCATGTAACGTTGGTAAGTATAATACTTATTTAGAAAATTATAAAATATTTGTATATGTATTTTAAATTTTTAAATTGTTTATTATTAACGTTTAATAATCTGATACAAATTTAAGATCAATAAATCATTTTAGTAACAGTAATAATATTATGGATAAGAATGAGAGATAATAAGACTTATCCCAGCTAAAATAATTTTTAAATTAATTTTTAATTGATTTGTATACCTGCCTCTTTCAGTATAAGGATAGCAAATATTTATCGGCTCTAATTATTATAAAAGTATAGTTAATAATAATCAAAAAAATAGACTACACCTTTAGTACTATTATACAAATTAATATTTTTTTTTTGAGTATCAAATCTTATTCTATCAATTTAACTTATTTACTTATATTAACATAATAAACAAACTAATATATATATGTAATATATATATATACGTTTTAACCCCACACTGCATAATTTTTAAACTTTAAAAAAAATATTTCTTTACGGGAATTTGTTGCTGAATTTGGAAAAAATACTAAAAAAGGTGAAAACGTAGAAGTAGATTAAAATAAAAAAAGGTACATGAAACATATTCTGAAACTATATTGAAATATTAAAAGTATATTGTATTCATTATTTTAGTAATTTTTTTATCGTATTATAAAATTAAATATTTATTGTATTCATTTTCTATTTAATTTTTAAATATTTTTTTATTATTGTATTAGAACAAAGTGGTTTAAAAAAGAAGAGAGCCTGGCTGTTGAAAGTTGGAACCGTAAGAAACTCCGAAAATCAAAATCATACCTGGTCCCAAAACCTCATTTGCGATACCTTGATATAAATAATTCACGTAGTATGAAGTCTTTACCAATTTTGAAAAATGGGTCTCGATTCGAGGAGTTAAAAAGCAGCAAAATAAAAAATATCGAAGGAAAAGTTATTTTTACCAACACATGTGCAATTGACTCCTTGACATCAATTATTATGGTAATTATTGACATTGAATACAAATGGTTATTAATTTTTATGATCAATATCTATACATATAATTGCGATAGTAAATATTATTTTAATAAATGGTAAACTTAAATACTACAATAAACTGAAATACTGCAAACTGTTACTACATGTAAACTTATATACAACATACAAAAACCGAATTATAATTTATACTTAAGTCATGTCTTGAATAGATATGCATATTAAAATTATTATCGATAAGTCAATATGTTCCCTATAAAATCACGTTTTGCTACTATGGCTTCCACATCATTTCGAAGTTTTAACGGACATATATGTAGGTCAACTTCAGAACATTAAAAGCTCAAATTGGGTGACTTGCAAACTTTTTACTCAATAATATCATTGATTAAAAATTTGTATTATGATATTGGTGAGATAAATCTATTAACATAATACTTATAATAGTTTTTACCGAATCTTTGATTATTATAACCTAATAAATTATCTTAATTTTAATCTTAATGTTTTAGGTATGTTATTGCGATAGTCAAAATTATTCAAAAATGGTTGATTTGATACCTTTGGATTACTTTGGTTTCGTTACAAATATTGTGAAAAAAGGCATAACATCTACAACCTACTCAACACGAGCTGAGATAATCATGTGTTATTTAGATCCTGAAATACGGTCATTAGAATATGATACAAAACTAGTTATTTGTGACACTACTGTTGGAAATGTAATAGATAAGCTATTCATTGATTTTCCTTCATTCAAGGAAGTCACCGAGTGTTCATCTAATGTGTGCCTTAACACATCATATATGAATTATAATTTTATAACTATACAAACTGATATGGAATCCAACATTGGTGAACTGCCACAATATTTAAATTATCGCACAAATATAGAAGAACAAAAAGAATGTAAAAATGGAAATTGCGATGGAATCCAAAAAACAAGGTCTGTGATTTCAAAAATGCACCTCTTCATTGATATTTTGTTTTGGGAAGGTAATTCTTGTAATAATAATATATTAATTGAGGTTAAACAACTATTTTTTTTTAACTGTATTCATTTTAGGAGAAGATATGATTTCGAGTCAGCGATTAGTGAAGCTGCTGTTGTATACCTTGTATTTGTTAATAACATGTAATCTTGTTACTAACTTTGCTTAGACTATTACTATTATTATTATCATTATTATCAATTATATTATCTTGTTCAGACCATGTGAGTCAAATAATATCCAACATCATGTTCATATAAAAGTTAATAAGTCTGTTATGTTAATTAATAAAATATGAAATTAAATAAAGTTGTAGTGTTGATTTAAATAAAAGTAAAATATAAAACATGGCGCAGTCTTTGGAGTTATATATTAAATAACTAACGTCCTACGTGATAATTGTTTAATTGCCTGGATCCAAATCGAAAAAAAAAAATTTTGAAAATGGAATTCAACAGACCGGCGAGCCTTAAATTGACCGGTAATATAAATGACAACTTTAAGACATTTAAGCAAGAAATAGAAGTTTATTTCATGGCTACTGAAACATATAAAAAACCAAAAGAAGTTCAGGTGGCACGACTACTGAACCTTTTAGGACCAGATGGTTTGAAATTATTTAACACATTTAAAATTGAAGATAAATCTATTGAAACAATTTTCAAATGTTTGGAAGAATATTGTGTACCCAAAAAGAATGTGGTAATGGAGCATTATAAATACTTTACTAGAAAGCAAAATGAAAATGAATCATTTGACAAATTCTATGCTGACTTACGCGAACTTATCAAGTCATGTGAATTTGGAGAAGCTGAAGAAACTCTATTGTGCTCACAAATAGTACTTGGTATACATGATAAGGATCTACAGACAAAATTACTCAGAGAAGATTTGCCATTGCCCAAAATCATCAAGTATTGTCAAGCGGTTGAGCAGGCCGAGATGCATCGACGTGTGGTTCAAAAAGAAAGTCCAGCTCTGGATCAAATTGAAGAACGTCAACAATTCAAATCAAAAGGATGGAGTCAAATTAAGCAAAATAATAAGTCACAAAGAAAACAGGAGCATAAGAACAAAAATCAGGTAAATTATAAAAATAAAAATTCAGGAGAAAGTCAAAATAATAATGTTAAAAAGTTTAGTTGTAACAGATGTGGTATATCTTATGGTATAAATGAATGCCCTGCTTATGGAAAAACTTGTAATAATTGCTTTAAACTCAACCATTTTGCAGTAAAGTGTAGAAAAGGTGCTAATAAAGGAGAGTTGCATGAAGTTCAATGTAATAATAGTAATGACGAGGAAGAAGAATTAACTTATTTGTCATTAAATAGTATTGAGTCAGAGAAACAAATAAATTGGACTGATATTGTTGTGATTGATAGTAAAAATGAATTAAAAATTAAATTAGATACAGGAGCTCAGTTGAATGTAATGCCTCTTAAAGAATTTAAAAAATTAAATAAAAACTTAGAGAAAAGTTCAGTAGTTATTAAATCATTTGGAGGATTTAAAATAGAGTCATTGGGAAAAGTTAAAGTAAATTTAAAAAACTCTAAGAATGAAATTAGTACCTATTTTGAAGTTGTTAATTGCAATGATTTGCCAATACTAGGGTTAAAGGATTGTATAAAACTAAATTATGAAATTAAAGAAGTAAATGAAATTAATAGTTGTAAAACAGAAAAAGATGTATTCTTACAAAAGTATAATGATATATTTAATGGTTTAGGAAAATTTCCAGAAAAAATTTCTATAAAAGTTAAAGATGACGCTAATCCTAAAATCTTTCCACCAAGAAGAGTACCTTATAAAATAGTAAATAAATTAAAAGAAAAACTAGATAAAATGTGTGAATTAAAGATTATAGAAAAATGTAAAGAACCAAGCGAATGGCAGAGTCCTATAATAATAATTGAAAATACAGACAAAAGTCTAAGAGTTTGTTTAGATCCCAGGGAGCTTAATAAAAATATAGTTAGGGAAATGTACCAAATACCAACACTAGAAGAAATTAAATTAAATTTATTAAATAAAAAATATTTTACTTTATTGAACCTTCGTGACGGATTTTATCAATGTGAATTAGATCAGAAATCACAAAACTATTGCTGTTTTAGTACACCTTTTGGTGGGTATAAGTACTTAAGATTACCTTTTGGCATATCTTCTGCCCCAGAGAAGTTTCAACAAATGACTTCTAAATATTTTGGTAACATTAAAAACGTAAATGTATATTTTGATGATATATTAGTAGCAGGCTCAACGATAGAAGAGCATAATTTAGCGTTGAATGAGGTAATAAAAACTTCGAGAAAATTTAATATTAAGTTCAATTCTGCAAAGTTGCAATATTATGTGCCTAAGGTAAAGTTTTTAGGATTTTTGTTTAGTAGTGAAGGAGTTCAACCTGATGAAGAAAGAATAAGATCAATTAGGGAATTAAATGAACCATGTAACAAAAAAGATTTACAGTCATTTCTAGGAATGATCAATTACCTGCGGGGATTTATTCCTAACCTATCTGAAATAGTAACCCCTTTTAGAGAACTATTAAAAAAAGATATTATATGGTATTGGACTGTAGAGCATAGGCTAGTTTTTGAAAAAATAAAGGAAATACTCTGTAATTTTCCAGTTTTAAATAACTTTAATTTAACAGAATCATTTGAAATACAAACAGATGCGTCTGAGAGAGCTATAGGATGCTGTATTTTTCAAAATAATAAACCAATACATTACGCATCAAGATGTTTGAGTGATACTGAAATTAATTTTGCACAAATTGAAAAGGAGATGTTAGCCATAGTTTTTGCCTGCACAAAATTTCACTATCTAATATATGGCCAACAATCTGTCAAGATATACACAGATCATCAACCGTTAGTCTCGGTTATGAGAAAAGAAATATACAAAATACCAAATAATAGGCTTAGGAGATTAAGAGTCAAATTATTAATATACAATGTGAATGTTGAGTATTTACCTGGTAAGCTCATGTACGTAGCTGACTTTTTGAGTAGAAATTATATTAAAAGAAGTGAGCAAAGCGAAGAGTCGTTAAATGATGTAGTACATACTATGGAAATGTTTGAAATTAAATTTGAAAACAATAAAAAGGATGATTTTAAGAAAGAGTCGAGGAAAGACGAAGCGTTAAGTCAAATTGTCAATTACTTAAGTACTGGCTGGCCAAACAAATGCAAGAATGGCGGTGAATTGAAGCATTATTTCAAACTAAGAAATGAATTAATATTAGAAGATGGCTATACTTTGGAATGAGGTTAGTAGTACCCAAAATGTTAAGAAGTTATGTTATTAAAATGCTACATAGTACACAGCATGACAAAGACCTGGTCGATGGCTAAACAGTTATTTTATTGGCCCTGCATGAAGAAAGATATAGAAAGCTTTATAGAATCATGTAATGTTTGTTTAAAATTCAGCTGTTCTAAGGTAAAAGAGCCGATGCTATGTCACGATATTCCTGAACTACCTTATATAAAAATTGGTATGGATATTGCACAGTTCCAAGGGAAAAATTATATAGTAGTTAATGATTACTTTTCTAGATGGCTAGAGGTGGAAGAAATCAGAGGTAAAACTACTAGTGATGTTGTTGAAAAACTTAAAAAAATATTTAGTAGGTTTGGAATACCCAAGAATATTGTTGCTGACAATAATCCGTTTAACAGTATAGAATTTGTAAAGTTTTGTAAACAGTGGGATATACAATTAACTACATCCAGTCCGTACTTTCATCAAAGTAATGGCTTGGCAGAAAAATCGGTGGATATAGTTAAAAGCATGTTAAAAAAAATTGGTGAAGAAGGTGGCGATCTGAACACATACTTACTAAATTACAGAAACACACCTGTAACAGGTTTAAGTTACTCACCTGCTCAGCTGTTGCAAAGTAGAAGATTAAGGTCTTTAGTAAATAACTTTAATGAAGAATGTTTAAAACCAATAACTGTTGATGCTAGGGAGGAAATAATTAAAAATAAAAATAAACAGATAATGAACTATAACAAAAATGCAGGAAAGGAAGAAAAAGAGTTTTATGTAGGTCAAAAAGTCTACATTCAAAATGTACTTAATAAAAAGTGGTTCCCAGGTATTATTGTTAACAAAACGGAGTACCCTAGATCTTATATAGTCAAAGATGTAAATGATAAAATACTGAGGCGCAATTCAAAGTTCATTAAAAAAGTTAAAGATTATGATTTAGTTAGTGGTTTTGATGATGAGAGTAATAGGGGTGAGAAAAAAGATAACATTCTAGTTGAAAAAGAAAAAAATAATATTAATGTGCAAGAAAAAAGAGACAGGTATATTACAAGGTATGGTCGCAAAGTTAAAAAAGTTGAGAGATATGGTTACAATCAGTTTTAAGAACAATGCATGAATAGTATTAAGAATTTTGTAACATGTAAATATATAATCATTTATTACTTGTGTATGTCTAGTTAAAAGTCATAGTGTCCACATTTATGTACTATTTTATAATATTTAATGTATTACATTGTTAGCATTAAGTTATTTAAGCTTGTTTATATTATATAAGTATTCATTGTTTGTAAAAGTATAACTCATTTGATTATTTGTAAACTCATGTATTAATTTTGTCACTTATAATCTTACTATCTTAGTGTTTATATTATCATAACAATTGGTTATACTTATTATCAATTTGAATAATTAATTTGATTTAAAAACATGTAATTAAAATATTAAATTATATATATTATATAATTTAAAAAAAAAAAAAAGAGGAGATGTTGTATACCTTGTATTTGTTAATAACATCTAATCTTGTTACTAACTCTGCTTAGACTATTACTATTATTATTATCATTATTATCAATTATATTATCTTGTTCAGACCATGTGAGTCAAATAATATCCAACATCATGTTCATATAAAAGTTAATAAGTCTGTTATGTTAATTAATAAAATATGAAATTAAATAAAGTTGTAGTGTTGATTTAAATAAAAGTAAAATATAAAACAGCTGCTACGTTGTTAGAAGTAAGATTGTGTGATATTCCGCAAATACTTGTACACGAAACTACAAGCTACGAGCTCCGAGGAGTAATTTGTTTCTACAGAGGAAAAAGTGGTCTAAGAAGATCAGTGGGACACTATACATCATACACTAAGCGATATGGTCGAAACTGGGAGCTGTTTGACGATTTAAAAAAAAAAACCAATACCAGTTAAAGAAACGACAACTGTACATTGTGAATTTTTAGTTTACACTGTTTAATTGTTTAGTATTCAAAAATAATAAAAGATAGAAAAATAACAAAACAATTCGCACTGTTACTAATTTTTATTTTCATTAACCTCTTTTTCTTAATTTGTCTCATTGCCAATAACGATGAAAATAATTGAGATATTAGTAACAAGCAGTGGTGAAAATTGGAAAAATGTTTAGGGGGGGGGGGCTTAAGCCCCAGCACATTTTTTTTAAAATTATAATATATAGGTACATACTTTAAGAATGGTATCTGCGTCAATGGTAACAAGCTCTTCAATTCTAAATTGTAATTGTATAGATATTGTAATTGTAAATTATAATATTAGGATTTCATAAAAAAAATAGATAAGTACATGACGTATCAATACGATAATGTACGACATTAGTAAATAATTATTACTGCTATAATAAACGTAAAACTTAAAAATATATACGTATTTAGATTAAGAAATGAAATATTATTTAATTTGTATACCTACATACTTCACAAAAAACAAGGTTGTGTGAAAAATATAATCATGAAAACGTTTATTAAATCTTAATTGATTTATAGATAGACTCTTAGTAAAATTTATCATGAAAACCAACAAGAAGTAAAAAAAACCGTTGACGAATGAACCCATAACTAGATTTGAATCGATATATACAGGGTGATTTTTTTTATCGAGGAACACTCATTATTTCTGAAAGTTTAGACATTTTACCAAAATTTTTTTTCTAAAAATTTTAGTTGCATACTTTTCTACATTTGTATAACACTTTAATTTTTTTCACCCTTATATTTATTGGGCAAACTATTATCAACTTTTGATTTTCAAATGGTAACCCATAATAAAAATCTTATAAAACAATAAAACTATTTTTTTTTTATGAATTATAACGTTAAAATTTTCATTTTATGTTAATCCATTAGCGAGATACAGTGCCTCAAAGTTTGGTGGTTTCTCATAAGTAACTGTGCTACTGTTTATAAGTACATAGTATTTTTCGTTCGTAAAGACCAGAAGTTATAACTAATAAATACGATATCGTTCAAAGTTCAACCCAGGGTTTTTATACCTGCTATTATCTAATACAAAATTATGGACTGGAAATGGTGACCAAAAATGTCATGTACATATTATGGTGGGGGTATCCATACGATTACAGCGTTATCTAGTTATCCCATATACCTGTCCTTTATCTTAATTCGTCAGTGGTATAAGATGGTATAAGAGTGGTAATATGAGTTGTATAAGATGATAGAACAATTATTTGTATTGAAGCGAAACTCGATCAGCTGATGGGTGAAGTGTTTACATAGATATTAAACATTATTTTAGTTTAATATATCAATGAGTGTTTACCTATGATCTGAAGTCCGAACATTGAAACTGTTTCCGTACACCAACTTGATGTTATACCCGTATTTAAAAACTGTTTCCGCCTAATTGGCAGGGTATTCGGCGCGGGGTAGGTTTATTTCCATTGTTTAATACTTTAATATGATATGATATATTTAATTGATAACGTATGCCACGCCCCCTGGATACGTAATAAGATGGTTTATGATTATTACAAATTTGAAATTAAAATATTTACGTTATTTAGTTATTACCATTTACGTGTCATCGTCAGAGACGTATTTACAGTTTTGACGCCCCAGGTAACATTTTATAGGCGCCCCTACATACCCCCTCCCTCTCAAAAAAAAAATGTGAATACTTATTTAAAAAATTTTATTGACAAGCTGACCATACATTTTATACAAATAACATAATTTTATAACATATTAACATTATAATTTAAGCCTCGATTTTTTCTCACTGAAATCTTGTATAATTTCATCATATTGTATTTGAGTTGTTATTTCTGACTCTATATGAAGTATCGCCAAGTTATTGAGCCGATCATCAGTCATCCTACAGCCGTCCGGTGCCGACAGAGCGCGTCGTGCCGATGACAAAAGTCTATGGAGGGGATGGCTGCGCAAACCAGAACCAGTATTCGGCCGCCGCCTGGTGCGTTCTTATTCTGAAAGGAGTTTAACTAGCCAAGACGCCGCTTTTTCCTTGATACTTGTGTTTTTAGATTTAAACACTTCCCAAGCCTGATTTTCTAATACTTCGTCTGCTCTATGCCGATCAGTTAGCGAATTACTTTCTTCGTATGCGATATTATGCGCTCTGGCCAACTCGTCAAGTCTGTTTATACCACGTTCTCCTCGTGCTAATCTTTGTTTCAATTTGGTTTCGGGACCGGCAAATCTATAAACAATTATTCATAAAATTTAAAACGGATTTATTAGTCATAATATATTGTAGCGACTTATCTATAACCAGGTAAATGTAATTCCACTGGTAAATGATTAACAGGGTAACAGAGTTAATAAGACCAGAGCCTTTATTGTTGTTTCGCTTACGAACGTGAGACATCGTGTGACGCTATCGCTAACATAGCACCTATATTTATAGTGAAAAATTTTTTTAAAAAAATGCGCTTTATCGAACAAGAGAAAAAACTCCAAATTTATAATATTGATTCTCCCGAGACAATTCAACAGAGACATGGAGAGCTTTTCCCAAATACGATAAGGTCTTTGGTACTTGGCAGCTCGGGGTGTGGTAAGACCAATCTGATATATTTTCTACTAGTCGATGAAAATGGGTTACGATTTGAAAACGTTTACATATACTCCAAGACGCTGGAACAACCTAAATATAAATTATTAAAACGTATTATTGATGGAATAGACGGTATGAACATTTTTACCTTTTTCGAGAATGATAAAGTAATTCCACCAGAGAAAGTTTTACCAAATTCAATTTTTATCTTGGACGATGTTATTGGTGAACACCAAAACGTAATATGATATTATTTTTCTCGAGGTCGTCACAATAAAATAGATATTTTTTATCTGGCCCAGAGTTATTCAAAAGTACCAAAACAGTTGATACGTGACAACGCGAATTTAATAGTATTGTTCAAACAAGATGAGACCAATTTAAGACATGTATACAATGAACACTGTTCGGGTGATATGTCATATATACAATTTAAACATTTCTGTGTAACATGTTGGAACCGTGAGAGGTTTACATTTGTTGTTATTACTTATTTGTAAAGATAGTGAGCGTGATAATGGACGTTATCGTTTTGAGTTTGATACTTTTGTAGTTATGTAAGATGAAACAACTAATAAATATTATCATTTAAAACGTAGTCATGACGGTAGCAACTACTGTGTTTGATGTGCTAGTTAAAGCTAAAGGAAGTATTAAACGTAAAAATATCGCATTAAAAACCGGTTCTGATAATTTTCAACAATTAATGACACAGACATTAAAACCAATTATCGATCCTTTGACTAAAATATCGAATAAACCTCGATTGAACAAAGAAAATATTGACAATAAATCAAAAAACTCAATTTTGGACTACAATCAACAAGAAATTGAAAATTGGTTTCAGTCTACAGACTTGGATAAAATCTATGGTCCGAAAAACTTACAAACGGACATATTATTTTGGGTAAAAAAGAAGTAAAATTTATAGAAAACACTATACTTATTGACGGTACTGTTTACCCATCTACGTCGGGTCTTAATCAGTTATTATTTTTAAAAAATCCACTTATTTTTACTGATAGCGATTTAGAGGTATATAAATCTATATTAACTCAAACATCAGTACATTTATCTACTTGTCGGATCGAGTTGCGTGCGACGAGTTTATATGTGTTGCGGGTTGCCTATATTGAGTAATTAATACAAGTTTGGGAGGTGCGTGTACTTCGAATTGCCTATACAGAAGTGTCTATGTTTTTACATGTTAAATTTAAGGGGGAGGTGCTGCTGAACCTACATATTTATCCTACTTCGTGGCGACGTTTTATCATCAATTATTGCAGGTTCATCAATATATAGCAATATATAATTATATTACAATGATTTATAATTTAATAAATTAATAATATTTTATATTGATATAATAGTATGCTGTTTTAGTTTTGAATTGTGTTATATTTATTATTTGGGAGATGCTACTGGTTATTACTTATTTACTTACTTTTTCCGGTTTTCCGAGTTGTTTTATTACAATCGAAAGCTGTTCCTCGAATTCCTCCTTAATCCGCGGAACGGTGGCATACAT